CATAAAGTAGGTAGCTGGTTTAATCAAGATAACGATAATTAGTTTAACCTCTTAAAACCCACAGGCTTAAGTGGGGGTAATAATTCAGAATGCATGAAATTCCACAGGTAAATTTTTCACCAGCAGGTGGAGCCATTGCGCGCAGCTCCAAGCTGACACCAAAAGTTCCAAACCCCACAGCTCAGGAAGAAGTCTGAAAGTGTCTGCATTTGTGGCTGACATGATGTAGAACAAATATAATGCAGTACAACCTGTCTTTTCTCAAGAATGTCTTTATGACTGCTGTTCAAAAGAGACCTATCAACAACAACTTTGAGTCATTTTTTAACCGATGCAGGTTGGTCTGTGTTCTAGTCACCCTAATTTTAATTTATATATTAGGAAATTATAAGGTGTTAACTTTCAAATAATGTATTGCACATGTAATTTGGGCTTACAGTTCCTAAGTTATTTGCTTTTCCAATTGGGTATGCAAAATAGGCGAGGATTGCCCAAAATGAGGTGGATGTTAAGAGGTTAAAGCCTGTTTCTTCAACATCCTCCGAAGTTCAAGCATTCAATGCACTGCCCTAGGGTCAGCTTGCAAATCCCGCAGCACAGTTCAGTCAGGTAGCAGTATTTGCTCTATTTAAATGCTGTTGCTCTAGGTAAGGCAATGCCTTCTAAAAATCAAGGCTTCCCTCAAGAGGACGCACACATCAGCTCACCATGCACTGCTCACATGTGTAACCAACAGTAATAGTTAACCCTCTATGGTACAATGTTGTCGTTTGGTAGCAACCTATTCAATTCCTTTGATCACACACAACACCTCCACTTTTAAGATGTAGTGCACAGAGAGAGATTAAACTCTAAAGCCCCATTTACACTACCCTCTGAAAACCGATCCGTGCTGAGCTTGGATCAGTTAACCGCACCGAGCTCTGTTCCTCATGACACATTCGCACACCACGCTAGCACGGTCCCTTGTCTTCTAGTGGCGATCTTCAGTACTACTGCTCTCTAGAAGGTAGCTAGACATAGCAAGCAAACCAACCAAGCAAACCAACATGGCGGCGCCTGTAACATTGAGGAAGTTTGCGGAGGGTCAGGCGAAGAAGGCCTTCAGTGAATTTACTTGACAGAGTCGGCTTTTGGGAAGTGGATACGACAAACGATAGTCTAATCAGGGCTTACAGACGCAGGAAAACACGACAGACATCGAGGTACATCACACTGCTACGCAGAATCATCACTGGAAATCATATGGCAGCTTTTATTTTTATGAATGTTTGTCTGAAATTTCATGATTACGGAGGCTGACTGTAAGGATATGATGCGGTCTGCTCACGCATTCTTTGTTACCTGAGAGCTGATCCCGAAATGAACCAAGCCGAGCCCTACTGATGGACTGGTATCAGTTTAGCACAGTTCGGTTGTGTCTGGCACAGTGCGGTTCAGTTGTGCCTGCCATTTATATTAACAGTTATCTACAGTTAACGTGCTCGGCAAGGGTAGTGTAAAAGGGGCTTAAGAGAGCCAAAAGCATGGTTTATATTTGTCACTTTTGAAATCCTTTTCTGCAGTCTTCACATGGAGGGTTTCCACTATTTGACCATGTAAAACAGTTTAAAAACAGCAGATGCTTTTTTGCTGCTTAAATCACGTTTGGTGTCAACATAGAATTACACTTTCTGATTGTTTGAATTAACCCAAGAAACATAATAATATTGTACCTTAAAATTATTTAATTTGTTCCTTATGAAATGTCCACCTCTAGTCAAGCACACATACTTCCCATAATCAGGACAAAAGTACTTTTGGAACAAATAGTTAGCTGCATTCCACCTCAAAATGCAGAAAATTGTGTTTCTGAGGTCTATATTTAGAATATTTCTAGGGGAGGATACCCCCCTATGCCGTGCAAAGCCTAAAAATGTGATACACCAAGTTGGACACCCTATGAAATATTCCCAGCTAAAAGACTGAGGATAGGTTTTGTCAGAGTCCTGTGCATCCCCCACCTCACATCTGAGAGGAACTGCTCCATCAGTTTCCACACGCAGCCTAGTATAGACTGCATCATAAAGACACTGAGTCCATTGAAACATTTTGAAAAATATCTTTTAATTGTTTTTAAGTGTAAAATAAGTTAAAAAATTAACTTTTAATGTTACTGGGGCCTGTTTCCACTTTAACATGGGTTGTTAAATAAAGCTCATTACAAAAATAAACCAAATTCTCTTGCTTTTATGCATTTCCACTATCGTACAGTGTTGCCAAACATCAAAGTCAACAAGAAATATCTATATAAATATATATATTTTTAATTTAAAACACTTGATTATGATTACTTGGTTTATCTTATGTCAAATGGCATCATTATGCGCATCATGGAGGGTTAAGGAAGAACTGTAACAACCCCTGCAGATTCAAGTAAGGTGACCAATTTGGGATTAAAAATGTTGAAGTTCACCAAACATTTTCATGTCTATGAAATAAAAAATATAGGCTCCTTTTGCTCACACCTCTGAGGAAGACGTAAGCATACATAATTATGATGATGTGATTAAGCAAATGAATTAGGATGAGTACATCTTCTCCTCATGAGCCTGATGCTGGAGGTGCAATGGAGGCGGAAGGAGGAAACAAGGATGATGGTGGAGATGGTGAGGGTTGCAGAGTCCTAGATAATGATTGGCCATGACAGAGGTGCACACAGGGCTGATAGGCCTGCAGCAGCAGAGCATCACAGGTTGACTGCATGAGAGGTGTGGCTGAATTTAATCTTCCCGTCTGGATTTGCATTTAAGCTCATTAAAAAGTAAAATTCAGATGGACTTTATAATAAAAATATTGAATTAGGATTTACAATTTGTGTTCATGAACACAAAGCTAGACTTTGTAACTTTTAGCTACAAGGGGTGCTAGACCTATCATAACCAAAACTTGTTGCAGGCTATTACGGTATTCAAAAACTCCTTCTGTGTTTTAGAATATCACAGCAAATCACTTTGAATCAGCAGATTTCTTGGATTTTCTTCTTTCATCTGCGGAATATTGCAAGAATTAGAAATATGTCCCCCAGGGAAGATGCTGAGAAAGTCCATGTATTTCTTAGTTGTAATTCTTACAATCAGGAAGTCCACAAACTCTAGTTAAAAGCCTGAAAAGCTTGATGAAAATTAAAAAGAGAGATCATATCTCTCCTGTTTAAACCGTTTAAACCTGTTTCCCGTTATTGGCTCGCCGTTAAATCCAGAATAGAATTGAAAATCCTCCTCCTGATGTATAAAGCCCAAAATAACAAAGCTCCATCTTATATGATAGATCTGATCATTCGTTATTTTCCTAACAGAGCAATTTACTCTCAATCTGCAGGTTTACTTGTGGTTCCTAGAATTTCTAAAAGTAGAATGGGAGGCAGATCATTTAGTTATCAGGCTCCTCTCTTGTGCAACCAACTACTCTACCAGTTTTAGTCCATGAGGCAGACACACAGTCTACTTTTAAGGCTAGGCTTCAAAGTAGACCAAATTAATTTGTTGAAAAGCTTATATTTAGAGATAGCCAGGTTATATTGAGCCAATCCTATAGTTATTCTGTTTATAGGCTTATGCTGACGGAGGACTTGGGGACCACTTTTCTCCTTCATTCCATCTTTATTTTTAATTCTGTAAAGTTTGGAAGTTCAAGCTTTTTTTTATCATAGTAGCTTCAACAACTGTGATTATAGATAATAGAGTTGGGCCTGTTTTTCAGTGCTTAGTCCTGTTCCTCTGCTAGACACGGCTATGGGCTTTACTGTAATTAACTGTAATTGCTCTCTTTCATCTGGTTTGAAGTGAAAATAAACTCAGATCATCTGCTAAAGTGAACAGTGCTTCTATGCTCTGTTTGCATGCCTCCTTCTGTCTCCCTGAGCCAGCAGTTGGCAGAAGGTCGCTAACACTGACACTGGTTAATGCAAGCGGATATCTACTGTCACCACATGCTCTTCTAGGAGGAGTGTATCCTGTAAAGTCAGTGACTTAATGCAATCAGCTGGGTCTCCTTAGATAGAAAACATTTAATCAATCTGACTGGATGATCCAATGGATTTTCTCTGTAAAGTGCCTTGGGATGATGTGCTGTAAACTGGAGCTATATAAATAATCTGAATCGAATTGAGAAGGCTTTCAATTGAAGACTGTATTAATCCCTGTGGGAAATTAAGTTGAGTAACTTGTAGAGACAAAGCAACATTCACCCCTCTAGATGAAATCCAGTAACAGAGAGACAGAAACATGTCTGATCGGGTGTCATATCTGTTTTGCCAGACATGTCGTTTAGCTTAGTTAGCAACAGGTCTAACCCTCTCAAGTAACATAGGCGAGTTTTATTACACCATATTATGGCGTCAATATTCTGCCAAAAGTCCACACATGAAATAAATGCTCCTACGAGCAGCTGTACTTCATATGTACGCTCATAAAATACTCATCAGGTTCATGTTTACCATGTTAGATGTGCAAATAGAGTAGCACATGGCGCAATATATCACCCACATGAATACTTTTTTCTTCTTTGTGCTCATGTGGTTTGATTTTCCAATACGCACAGCCTCCCTTGTCCTCAAGTGTAGAACTGTTTCTTCTTGCTCCTTTTAACTTTCTCACTTTGAAGGCGTTGCAGACTGGACAAAGCAACCCTCGCGTGATTGGGTACTTTTCAGGAAATGGAAGCGCCTGTGCCCCTGCTGCAACCACTTGGAAACTCTGCGTCTTTACACAAGCAAAGAAAAACTAACTCCGTACTCCAGTTAAAGAACTTCATGTCAATTATCTAAGATGATGGTGGTTGTATAATGGTCTGATATTTTTCATCATCAATAGAAAAATAAACCCTTTTCACTCTCAGACATTCCTTAAGGAGAATTTCAGTCAGACTGTGACCTTTAGCTGAAGCTCAGCAATGATAAGGACCGGACAGTCATTGCTAAAAAAATAAGAGGCCCAGTGAAAGTTTAGGCTTTAAGATGATTGGAATGGTGAGGCTGAATTAAAACCATACTATGCAGAAAACCCTTCAGCAAAGACACACTAGTTATTGCAAATGCCTGCCGGCAGCTGTTAGCACATTCTGCATGCTAAAAGAAGCAGTTAAGAGGTTTAAAAGTCCGGTCATATTTATAATTCAAACTTCTGAAGTACTTTTAATATGAAATTATTCCATACTGTTCAATTAATGACAATTGTTTTAATTTAGAGTAATTTCACTGGAGGCATCCATGTTTGTCAAAGAACACTACTGCCACCTACTGGTTTGTGAAGTCACGGTGCGGTATCGGCTGTTGATCAAGTCCCAGTGCTGTATCTGGTGTTTGTCACAACGCGCTATTATCCAAGTCATCTTGAAAACATTCTTCTTCCAAATGTTGGCTACATATTACGGGTCTTTTCTCTGGCCAGAAGTTCCCGCCTCAAGTTGGCAATCTAACGACAAACTCGTGGTGGATCATGAGTCGGAAAGGGGACATTTTTTTATCCACTTTTACCCAATGTATTCCAACATCCAGCTGCCATGCACATGGGCATTGTCAGTTTCACTATAGCTCTGGTGAATTTCAATGGTGAAGTCCTCTGGAAATCTTTAATAATTGTTGTTGACAATGGCGCTAGGCTTACCGCACCGGGACGGGCAAAAATGGCCGCTCCTGGACTGGAGTGATCGTGACGAAAATAATACTTTTTTAACTTATTTCTTAATGATTAATTAATTAAATCACCATAAACGTATTAGTTTTAGGTATAAATATTGACCCACTGGTTATTCCTTGCTGACCGGACTTTTCCTTTTAATAGCAATTAATGTTTTGCAAAGGGAGAAGTTTCTTTAAAAAATCTCTTCCCATAAATAAATGCTGTTAAACTACATTTACTCTGATTATCTTTTTTGTATATTCAATTGTTAATGATATAAAAAAGCTAAAATAAACAAAGAAACTCTGGATTCAACAGCAGAATACTTTTGAGCTGGTAAAAGAGGCCACAGAGCTCCTGGCAAGGTTCAAGTACTTCATTTTGTTCAGTCAGCAGCATCCGAGTAAATCACAATCATCCTGAGCTGCCAGTCTAAATAAATCTGAATTGTTTTTCCCTTTAACTATGTTATAAACAGATCTAATTAGACTGAGTGCATGAGCTGCATCAGAGCATCCTGTATATCATCCAACTGACAGGATTGCATCTTAGCGTTCTTACCAAATGCTCTCCAGACACTTTCCTGATGCCCACCATCCTGACTGCATCTGGTGGAACAGGCTGATTGTTGAGGGCTGCATCCATGAAGGAACAGGGGCTGGGAGGAGGGGTCTCATAGTTTTTGGATGCCACAGAGTCATGGGTCTCCAGGAGGGACTGTGAACAGAATGACATTAAAATAGAGTTAAAATGCTTAATGAGTAATTTTTGCTTGAATTAAGCACATTTTTTCTTAAAATGAGGAGTTAAGTGGAATACTTTGCCAATGGAACTAGACAATTTATATTTAAAATAAGAACAAAAAATTTGCTTTGTCTTATTTCAAGTGCATATTAACTAATTATCTCAATTTAGGAGTAAAAATACTCATTCCATTGGCAAATCATCTTATTTATCTGCTTAAATTAAGGGTAAATACACTTAATTTAAGATATTTTTTTTACTTATTTTTTTGCAGTGCAGACCTGGAAGTGAGGTTCCTTCAGGATGCGGACGAGCTCTTCAGCTGTCTGGCTCCTTTGTGTGAGGGGACCGAGCTCCTTGAGGATGTCCTGGACCAGCTCCACATTGTTTTCACTCACCGCCTCCAGTTTGGGTTCCTCAAAGCGCTCATGGGCCTTGGATATATAGAAAACACTGATGTCAATCAAATCAAATTAAAAAAAAAAACTTTATCTCAAAAAGATATTCTATTCATCTGAATAGAATTATGTTTAATGATGGTTTTTCCTTAGGTTGACAATCCTTTTTTTGTTTTAGTCACATTTTAATCCAGATAAGCCATCACACCATTTAATAAAATCAGGTAAAGCATGGCGGTGGACTGAATCTGCTCCCTGTGACAAAGACAGCAGAGCAGTATCATCTGAAACCTTAATATCTACCTGTTCTCCTGTGTGGACCTGCAGCTGTTTCTATACATAATGTAGAGAAGTGGAGACGGTACACAGCCCTGAGCAGAACCTCTGTTGGAGGTGATAGAACTGGACATGTGTCCATTCACAAAGACTCTTTCAATTCAGTTAGCTAGCAAATTCAAAAGCAGCAATAAAAGCTGATGCCAAATTGAATCCCTTCTGGGTTAGCTCTATCATTGTTGGACCAAAAACTTGTTCCTTTATCTCAGTGCCCTGATTTACTTGTCTTTGACTTTTTATACTTTAATGCAAAGTATTGCATGGTGTTCATTCCTTAATAATAAAAAGAAATCCACAAATTGAGCCCATATGGAAAAAGTACAGAAGGAAAGTCACTAGTAAGAGAAAAACATTAGAAGTGTTCCATCAAACCAGGACAGACAGTGTAGGAAGACTAACATTGTCATCTATCACAGAACATCTTCACATAGTGAAACATTGTGTTTGCTCATTTTGCAGGAATGTTTTCCTTCAGCATGGATGGGGAATATAATGAGAGAACATCGTATAAAACCTGGAAGGAATTCCAAAAGACTTAAGCCAGGAGACAAAGTAAAATGACAGTAAAATAAACCCTAAAACTGCAGTGGACTGGTTTAAAACAGTGCATGATTCTAGTTAGCTAAAATGAAGACTTGAAAATTGATCTATTGACCGTTTTCTATCCAGTGTGACTTAAGTCGAGCTAATAGGCAAAGAAAAACCAGCAAAGATTTCTGTCCTGGTTTGTTCTGTCGTGACATTGCAAAGGGATACATAGAAGTCTTATAAAAAGCAGAAAGGTTTAAAGGGTTTATAAACTCATGTGAGAGACTACTGTATATATTTTACATTGTTTAGTTTTGCTGTTTAATTTTATAGTTTTTATTTTCTCTATTTTCTATCTGATCCTCCCTTGCTTGTTGTCTCTCTTTCTCACCACCTTTCCATCTCCATGTCTGTTGTATATGATTTTATTCTCTAAATCAGAGGTAACCAATTAAGAATCATCGGGGTCCGAATAAAAAAATCAACAACCAGTAAAGGTCCGGGGACATTTTTAATTATAATCCATTATTTTAAACAGCATTTAACACTGAAATAAAATAGGTGGTTATGCATCCATGTTATACATTTACTTTATAAATAAAATAAAAAAATAGAAAAAAATAGAACATTTTTCCATTTTTTTTTTAATTAGAGAAGAGCAATTGTTCAGTTTGGTATATAGACAATTTCCTGATTCACATATTTTATAAAGTCTAAAGTCCAGGCTAGAGATTTTTTTTTTTTTTCGAGAATACATTCGTAAAACTATGAGAATACATTTCGTAAAATTATGAGAATAAAGTCGTAACGTTACAAGAATAAAGTTGTAATATTACAAGAATAAAGTCCTAACATTACAAGAATAAAGTAATATTACGAGAATAAAGTTGTAATATATCATAAGAATAAAGTTGTAATATATCATGAGAATGAAGTCTTCATACAACAGCCGGTTTCAGAAAGAAAGCTTGGAGCTCCACCAATCAGCAACCTGAGTTCATTTTGACATCCTGCCCAGTTTGATGCCGGTGCTAAAAGATTTCCTTATTTGTCAAACAAGAGAGAAAGTATAACTTCACATGATGCTCCACATTCCTCATTTTAGGGAGGAAAGGGCTTCTTGTAGGAGTTGTCATAAAACTTATTTCTCGAAATTTTAGGCCTTTATTCTCGGAATTTAATGACTTGTTGTGAATTTTTTCTCGTAATATTACAACTTTATTCTCACAATTTTATGACTATTCTCGTTGCGACTTTATTCTTATAATTTTATGACTTTATTCTCAAAATAGAAGAAAAAAATTCTATATAATGGCCCTAATACCCTGCCATATATAAAACACCTGAACTGACCTTTTGTTTGTTTTTGTTTTTTTCTCTTTTTTATTGGTTATTGAGAGCAGTGGGCTTTAGGCTGCCCTGCAAGGCTTTAAACCTGGGTTTAATTGATACAAAGTCATTCTAAAGCACATATTAAGGA